GTCTATGATATATAAAATGCCATTGGTATTGTTTGCTAAATCATTGAATCTATATTATTATTTAGTTTCTTATTTTGTTTCTTAAGTATTTACTTTCTTCTCAACAATTTACTTAAGACTATTCGTGGAGCTTAAGTTTATTTTTTAGAAGTTTTAAATTTCTTTTAGGGACCCTAATCATTATAAGAGATATTAGAAAAAATCAACAATAATTGTTATTTGTAAGTTTTATTATGTATTGTTCAGAAATAATCATTGTATCGATGCAGAAAGGAGGAGAATAATTCAACCAATATTTGCTCAGCAATACTTAAGTATCTTGTCCACGATTAAGTGGTATTAAATCGGAAATCAGATTAAATCAGATTTGTTATGGACAGCTAAATATAGTCCGAAACGCAATATTTGTTCTAATTAAGCCACTGACAACATCTAAGGCTGTCATTAACATATTACCCACTCAATGAACCTTTTATGCTTATTATTTGTATCCTATTAGGCATTTAAAATGCAGGGGCAGGATGTGTGGGCTGTGCGGTGAACCTGTAGGTCATAACGCCTTGGATCCAGACTATGCCGTCAGCGTCGCCGAGGAAAATTCGAGCCTTCTGGCGACAAAACGCCCACGCATAAACATATATGTATATATATGTATATTGGAGGTACGTGCAGGGAGGTGGAAAATTCGGGTGGAAAATCGTGTGAGTGGCCCCAAAGTGCCCTCATGCTTATTGAGTGCCAATTTTTATGCCCCTTAGATGTGTGTATACGAGTGTGCATGTGTAGATTAGTACTATGCCAAGCCAATTTACGATTAGCGAGGACCATCCTTCGTCACCCCGATGGCCCCATCCATTTTCCCGGGCCCCACATTTCCCTGGAAAACCCCGCTTATCACACAAGGAAGGACTTGCTTTGCACCTTGAGGACTTTGTGTTTACATATGCGACTGAAATCGTTTTATTTATTTACCACGCCAATGCTTCTCCGTTTCCCCACATCCCCTATACCATTTTCCATTTCCCCTGCCCAAGAACCCACCCACCCATATATCTTATAAGGCGGTTCTGTTCTGTTATTATTGTTATTGCCATTGCCGTGTTTGTCTTGGGTTTTGTTTTTATTCGGTTCCTCATTACGACTCGGCATTTGTTTTTGTGGGTTTGAAGTGTCAGGAAACTTGGCGCTTGTCTAACTTAAATTAATATTAATGGCCGTTTGGCCAAAAACTGTTGAATTAAACACATTATGGCCGTTTAATTGGCAAAGGCAATAAAATATTGTCACAACTGGACAAATTTCCGGTCAACAAAATGAAATATTAATAGTAAATGGGTCGATAGATTGCAAGAACTATAAATAGTTGCCTAAATGAGGACAATTAGTTATAAATAAACATAGCATTTAAGGCCAGACAAACTGTGAACTGTTAAATATATGATAAATTAAGCCAGAAACAAAAGCTAATAATTAATTTAAATACAGCCCAGGTCAAAGTATTAAAACTTTCAGCCATAATATCCGCACAAGTCCTCGACGCATAAATATATTGTAGCTAAATGCATTAATTTTCGGAAATCAAAGCGTAGATTAATTATAACCAAATGCATTTATTTTCCGAAACTGCATTTGCATTAAATTCTTTTTACCACTCGATTATACTTTTTGAAATAAAAAAAAGTTGAAATTCAAAAGTTTTAATACATGCACATGTTTAAATGAAAATAAAGTAGGTTGCTTCTTTTGTATTTTTTGCATAAGGCATGTTAGTAGAAGCACTATAAAAATCAGGCCATTTCGATAAAAACGCATTAGCATAATATATAAAATATCCCACTCAAACTGTAAACAATTTTGCACTCAATTTGCATTCACATTTTATTAGTTTATTGTGGTCTATTGACGTGGTATAGGATAGTATTAAAAATGCTTTATTATTTATTTGGTGTTAGGTTCTGAATTAGAACATTTATAACCAAAAGACTATTTATTTCTAAGGAAAACTAAGTGAGATTATTATCGGTGATAATATTGGTTATAAACTTAGTTCCCAGAGAAACATGTGAGGAACTGTTTAAGGAAAACGTAGGAGATAATTAACAGCCACTGAGACCTTTTATCTTTGGGATCTACATTTTAACTTATTTACTTCATTTGCCGACTACAATGGTACTTGATCTAAAGTCCCTTACAACAATACTTGTTTTTGGAAAATTAAGTATATTCAAATGAAGTTTAATTTTCTTGTTATATTATTTAACACTTGTACAAATACTTTTAGAATTAAATTGCATATGAATGTTAATTTAACCATTAGTTATTTAAACTTTTTAATAGGTTAGCAGTCAAACAAAAAACTTTTCTTCAGCTGTGGGACCATCATAATTTTTTCATAAGCATGTGCTCTTAAAGTTTGCTGCTGGCATCGCCATTCCGGAGTTTTTACCAGTAACTGCTAATTAGACCACAAATAAACCGTAAAACTCCGATAGAAACGAAACCAAAATTAAATTTCCGCTAGACTAAATTTAAAAATAACAAAATAATCGTCAGAAAATGAGCAAAAAATGGCTTGAAATCCGAAACCTAAGTTCTGAAAAGAGGGGGAAAAAACAGAAAATAAAGTCAAGATGCCGAGAGGAAGATGAGGAGGACCAGCCGCAGAAGGGCGACAAACACTTTGGACAGTTAATAAAGCCGGGATAAGCACTCGACTTGGCTTGATGACAACTTGACGTGGTCGCTGAAATGCCGCAATGAGCACCCGAAGCCGGTTTATTAAAAATGAGCAGCGAAAAGATGGGAAAATAAATATGTATAGGAGTGTGGCGCTGCTCTTGGTTTGGTTGCCAGGACATGCAAAAGGAGTCGCAGTCGCAGTCGCAGGATTGTGGATTGTGGATTCAGGACTCCAGATTCCAGATTCCGAAAGGCAAATCCTCGGCACGTAGCTGCCAGATCAACGCACGCCTGACGCGCTCGACATTTTCATGAGTTAATTTAATTTCTGTATCTGTCGAATCTGTGGCAAGTCCCCCAGGCAAGAGAAAATACAAAAAAGAAAAGGCTTCCAGTAAATAATGCCGCAAATGTGCGTCCGATTTAAGCTGATTGACGTGATGGCACATTTCAATGACACTTTCGCCCACAAAATCATCTCCGAAATGGCCGGAAATTGATTCTGGATACGAGATGAAAAGTTAATGCGACTTCTTGTGAGAGGTTTAAGCATCCTATCAACTTTGACAGACATCATCACCAGACACAAGTATCTATTATGAGTTCATAAGTTCAAAGGTCCCATCTAATGAGTCATTAAAGGGTTCATGTTCAGACATTTAAGACGGGGTGAAAATAAATTACCACTGGTGATTTTAATTTTTTTTTAAATTCTGTGATCTGTTCTTGAAAATATCAAACAAATACTCTACGTATATACATAGCCTCTAAAAATCAAAAAGCTTGGAATTTAATTTGTTAAGCAATTGGTCCTTAATATTATGGAACTAAGAACTGACTTAGCTTAGAACTAATTGAAATGCTTCGAAAACCATTTTTGGACCTAAAATTAATTTATAGATTTTTTTTTTAAATACTGAAAAGCTTATATAATAAATATTTAGCTGTCTAAAGGGAACTGAAGGGAACTGTCTACTAAAAATATGGTAAATATGTATGTTACATTAATTAAAATACAAATTATTCACCTTTAAAGATAACCTTTAGAGATAATCATATCAAGTATCATTAAAGTAAAATAATAACTGAAAAAACTTACCTTTCATTATTCATCATGGGTTAAATAAAGAAATAAAGGTATTTTAAGCATAAAAGAGCTACAAATAAATCAAACAAAAGGTAAAAAAGGCTCAAGAGTCACAAAAAGCACTAATCATATCTCGATTTAAGATCAATCTAGAACCCTAAAAATGCTTCAAAGGGTTTCGGCGATGGTTTTTTATACGGCAGGCAAATCGAACGACTGTTTCAGGATTTTACAAGCGGAAAAAAGGACCCCAAAAATGGTCTAGCAATTTGTTTGAAGTGAATAAGATTAAGTTGTGACTCCGATTTCACCTTTTTGGGCCTGCGGCCAAACCAATTAATCTCCCCGAAAAGTGTCCCACGCAGAACCCAAGAACCGCAGGGAGTTTTCCAAACCAATCCAATCCAATCCGCTTTTCCTTTTCCCAGGTCACGACCGGCCTGCTTTTCTGTTGTTGTTGCGGTGGTGAAAGTTTCCCTCTAGTGCTCCTTAAAGTTGTCTTTTGTTATTTAATTCCCCATAAATTTTCATCTCTTGTTCGCAGCCATCTGGTTTTTCAGGATTTTCACTGACATTTGCCACGCACATAGACAGATAGAAACAAAGTTTTTAACGCACAATTTACATTTATTTTCAACTATATGTCGGCACATAAAAATGTATTTACAAAGTTTCTGTGATTAGCTATAAAATGGGGGTCTATTTAAAAGCACACAATATGTTTTAGCTTTCTCTTTAGGCTAGGAATTAAATAATTTATAGCTTAAAGCCGTGCCACGGCTGCAATACTTTAGTTTATAAGCTTAGGTTCTACGACTTTGACACAGAAAAAATACATCAAAATTCTTTGGTATGTTTATATTTACATTATGTGAAAGTATCATTTAGTTAGTAACTTTGTGTCGATGCCAAAGTTCTACACAAAAACATTTTAAACTGCTGTTAAAACTATAAAAGATACATTCTAAGAAAAGGGTTGAAACCAAAAAGATAGGGGAATTCTTCCTCTAAGGGAAAAATTTGAATTACTCTATTAAGTATGCTATAGAAAACTTAAGGAAACTTTTAAGATTAAGTCTATTAAAGGTTTTCGTTTACAGGTTTTATAAAAAATTGGATAAATAATATAACTAAAATGGAAAACTTGTGTTAAAATAGCTTTAAATTATATATATAATTAATCTCATAAGTGTAAAGGTTTTCCTTACATTTTTTTTTTAAATTTAATTTTTAAGTTTAAATAATACAAAGCTTTTAACTACTTTTACTTTTGATTTTGATAAAGAGCTAAGGATACCATGGCAACTTGCTGCCCGAATTCCTGTAAACTCCGTTTAAATCCATTGTTTGTTACCATAACATCTTCCGGGAACTCAGTTCAAAAGGGACTCCTGGAATTTTGGTGGGTGCGTACGCTTCTGCTGGCCAAGTTCGTTAAGCGGCAGAAAGCCATAGCCCGGCGGTGCCTCATTGTGGCCCGGGTTATGGCCCAGATCGACGGCCGAAATGGGGGCTCCGTTCTGATTCCCGCCATTTGGCAGCGTGGTTATCGTTGTCTCCTGCAGGCGACAGCTGTGTGTCCATTGTGGCGAATGAAAGTGATGGACATTTCGTGGAAATTCCAAAAATAGATGCGGGGCACACTCACCTGCGGATGGTGCTCTGGTAGCAGGAGTGGCGGGACTGGTAGCGCTTCGAGGCGGTGCTGGTCAGCGAGGTGTCCCGGTGCATGCAGAAGGTGTCGTGCTGGCCGCGCTTCTTGCGCCTTCCACTCGCTCCGCGGCAGAACAGGTATCTGCCGGATACGGATACGAATACGGATGTGGATGTGGATGTGGATATGCAAGAGAATGGAGTTCCCATTGCCGGGAACAGAAAGCCAGATTGGCGTGTCAAACAAAAATATTTCATAAAATTCGCTTAATGGACAGAGTGTGTGGGGGGTCATACGTGTTTACACTGAGCAAATATATTTGGAGGCCGTTTGAAATAATCTAAGTATTGGCATACTATGATTTTGGTCATGAGTTTATGTGCGTCATAGAAAGCTTTAGCGACTTTTACAAATTTGTCTAATTCTAATATTTAAAAAAGTAACATTGAATAAGTCTCAAATATTAAAGAGATTTATTTTTAAAAATGGTGACATAAAAATCTGGACTCTAGATGAAATTTAAAAATAATTTAATTAATTATTTAACAATTTTTATAAGCTACAATATTTTGAATATCGACCAAAGAGCTGAGATCGGAAAACAAGCAAGATCGGTTAATCGCAATTTGAGAATTTGTCTTGTCACTTATTCAAGAAGAAACGTTCTTGAAATCAAGAACTAAAAAAATGTATACAAAAAAGCTCCTTGTCACCTTTAAGATCAAAAAATCTAAATTTTTTTTTAATTTTAAAAATTTTAGCAGATAGTTTGGTTGTTTTTTCAAGATTTGTAACATCTACGCTATAAAATTCATCGAGCTTTCAATGACACATCAGATCAGTATACTACAATCAATACAAAAATGTGTTTATAAGTATTTTAAATGATTAATAATAATAAAAAAATGTCCAAACTAATTTGGCCACCATTTTTATCAGTGCATGCGTGATGGTCAGGCACTTTGCGAGTTCAAACGGAAGCAACAAACAATTTAAAATTGCAATTTGAGAGCTGGTTCAGATACAGATACTCATTTCGAAGGGGAAGTTGTGCAGTTGGTCATCGAGTGCGGTTCAATGCAAGTTGAGAAGAAAATTAGAAATTAAATGCAGGCAACATATGGTCCCCGATTTTTCATAACATCCTTGTGGATTTTATTAAAATGCTATCCATTATAAATTGAATAAAAACTCCTTTTAAAATGCTGTTCTGCAGTTAATTATTTCACCTTGCTTTATCATGTCATCAGTAGAGCTCTCAAATTGACAGTCATGAATATTTATATTTAAATTAAATGAAAAACTGCAAATACGGTTGAGTATAAAAGCAAACAAAAATACGAAAAGAAATTCAATGCTTTTACCAACTCCCAAAGAATAACAATAAAAGAACTACTGATTGCTTTGTGCCAAAAGTTTTGGGTAAAATCAAAGTGAACTTTCAAGTCACGCATGTTTGCTCGAATGTTTTCAGTTTTTTTCTGTTATTCTAAAGTTATGAGTTTTGTTTAGAAAGAGAGATACAAATTGCAGTTGGCTTACAGTTACGGGGCTACAGTTTGTTTATTGATTTGCTAGCGACAGTCGTCTGCCGACTAGCGAGTACCGATTAATCATGCTGTAGCGCTGTTATGCGGCTGGTGGATTGATGTAAACGAACAAATACCTATTGAAATGCTTGCGGAAGGCCCCGCTCACGAAGTAGAGGGCCACGGGATTGGCGCAGCTGTTGGCGAAGGACATGCAGTAGGCGACGATGCGCAGCACATGCCAGAAGGCATTGTAATCCTCCTGGGCGGTGGGCCTGAAAATAGGAAAAGAATACGAGATGGAATCCCTTTGTTACCTTAGTCGACTATCATATACGCAGTAAAAAAGTGTTGCACTTGTGGGTTATGGCCATATGACACTGGCTTTTATTTCGATTGACTGGATGTATTTTAAAAAGTCCTGACAATCCATAGAGAAACAGTCTCTACAACTGAAAAACTTTCCATGAATTTATATACATATATCCTATAAATCGCTTTGACTTCTTAAATTATATCCCATCAGCTGGTCAAAATGTACGCAAGTGGCATAGTGCTATAAAAGGTTTTTCCTAGAAAAAACCCATTGGAGGATAAGTATAATTAAAATCTTTTAGGAAATGTATTACAGAAGGTATGAGGCTATGAGGCATTGTTAGATAGAATAAAAACTAAAATCGTTTTTACCTGCTAAAAATCAAATGATTGTCAAACTGTACTTAAATTAAAGATAATTTTAAGCTTTATGATTGAGTATTTATAGTACCTGTGATGATAGATGGTTTATTTTTAGTATACCAAAAAATCTCTTTAATATAAAACAAAAACCATTTTATATTGATCTTAAAATTATAGAAAATACTTCATAATACGTATTCAAAGTGGTTCCATATACCCCTTTAGTCTTCCAGTATCTCTTTAACAAAAAGAACACAAACAGACATCGAGAGTCAGGGTTGCAAAGAACCCACAATGGAGATGTCAGGGGGAAATGGATTGGATCTTAGAATTATATAAAATACTTCAAAACACATATTCCAAATGGTCCAATATACTCCTTTAATCTCCCAGTACTTCTTTAAAAAAAGAGCACAAACAAACATCGAGATTCAGAGTGGCAAAGCACCCACAATGGAGATGTCAGGGGAAAATTGATTGGATCCTAGAACTATATAAAAAACTTCGAAACACTGATTCAGATTGGTCCAATATACCCCTTTTATCCCCGAGTACCTTCTAAAAAAAGGAACACAAACAAACATCGAGAGTCAGAGTTGCAAAGCACCCATAATGGAGATATCAGGGGGAAATTGATTGTCCAGCGTCCGGGGCGAACAAGTGTCGGACAAATGGCAACAACATTACTCATACGCAGGACTCCTTTGTGAACAGGGCTATATAGCTATATCTGCACTACATCCCTTGGCGCTGGCAGGTTCCCTTTTATCCGCTTGACAAATTGACTTTCCATCCATTCATTCATGACGACATCCAGTTTAGCACAGCCCCTTTCCCTGGGGAGGTGGATCGAAATCAGGGGAACCCAGAGCACTCACCAGAAGTAGAACCACAGGAAGAAGACGTGATAGGGTAGAAAGCAAATGCCAAAGATGACAACGAAGGCCAAAACAGTAACAGCCACCTTGCGACGAGCCCGAACCTGGAAAAAATTAAACAGAAACGCAAGTTATGGTAAACGGTCTTATAAACATGGATATCACTGCAGAACCCAAGTATTTTTTAAGTACTATAAAACAAACCTACATCCTATTATTCAGTTGATTTCACTTTAAACTAAGTTTCATACTGAGAAAATGGTCTTTGAAAGCTTGAAAGTTATAGGCCTTAAAACAGTATGACACCTACTTTATTTTAAACATATAGACTAGAATTATTTTAAAAAGTCGAGGCAAATTCAATAATATTTAATATGTATAAAATTAAACAGTTGTTGCTAAGCTCTAAACTATATTTTCACCAGGTGTCAATGGCCTTATAAAATAGATCCAATTAATAATATTAAGAAATCTAGCCAGTGTCATAAGGCCTTAAACGTCATTAAAGAGCTTATATTTGTATAAAACTTTAAAATTTTAAGCTCTAATGCCTTCCATTGTTTCGAAATTGAATTTTTAAAAAGCATGACGTTTATATTGTCCTAACAAAGTCGAGATGCCATTGAAATTCAACACAAAGTCAGAGACAATTGAAGCAGGGAAGCTCCAACAAAGTTTGTTTACAAACAAAAGCGCAAACTTTTAAAGACCTGCAACTAAATTAACGTTCAATCTGAGAGATGGCATAAAATATTAGAGTCACAACAATTTTCCGGTGATAAAACGTTTAAAATCCGTGACTCTGAAAATTGTTTTATTCTACTAAACTCCAGAAACACGTGCTGTGTGAAAGACAATGCCAAAAGGCAGGCACACACGAGTTTTCCTGAGAAACAAAAGCAAGTAAAAGAGTTATAACGAACTGGATATAAAATACAAAACACGTTACTCCTGAAATGTATACCATTATGTGGTAAACTTGCCATGCGACAGCTGGCATAAGAAATACTTATTGATGAGCGCACATGCCGCTTAAACCACTAAAAAGTTCGTCAATTTATTCTAGTAACCCTCCAATTCAGTTGGCATTTTAGAGCGATGGTCCAGTTAGTATGAATATTTCATGCCACCCAACTGAATGGAAAAACTTTTCAGCACACACATTTTATTTTTTGCGGCTGCGGACCTTGCGAAAATAGTTGTGGAAAAACTTTATAATTCACTTTTATGAAGCTCTCTCGTTTTTTTTTTAGAGTTAGGGGCCTCAATGATTGATTTCAATTGGTGGTGCTTATACCTTTTTGGAGGAGATAAATTGAATTTTGGACTGACCTGACGGACGGCTCCCTGAATTTCGCCAGGGACACTGGCCGAATACATCAAATGGAGGGCGATTAGCACGTAGAACACGGCGATGATCACCAGGGGCAGGGCGTAGTAGACCAGGAAGTGCAGCAGGACCATGGATTTGGCGTAGCTGATGCCCCACTCCTCCGGATACGGATAGCAGATGACAATCGACTTCTCGTTGATCCCGAGGTGCTGCAGGGTTAGTAATATATATTAAAATGGTATATAAAAGGTTAAACAGGATGACCTGCCTTCAGATTGCTGCCCAGGAGGGCTGGCAATCCACAGAGGATGGCCAGCAGCCAAATGGAAACCGCTGTGGCCAAGGTCATTCTGGTGGCCCGACGACCGCCTCCTAAAATATATATAAAATGTATTATTTAATTAAAAATTTATGAACATTTTGGTTATGTGCTAACCAATATTTTTGGTCGGTTTCCACAAAAAAGGTACTTCTAGTTTCAAAGCATTTTTGGTTCAGTATTTTTTTCATGGAATTTAATATTAAAATTTAATTATTTTTGGTCGATTTCCACCGAAAGGTACTTCTAGTTTCAAACCATTTTTGGTTCAATATTTTTTTCATGGAATTTAATATTAAAATTAAATTCTTCTCCTGGAAAATATGTATTTAATTTACAAACTAATTGGTGTGAGTAAGGAAGGAGGTAAATGTAGGTTGTGGAATTCAGGTGAGCAACGGATTTCCGTAAACTGATTGAGTTAATTTTTGCATATTGTAAATGTTATGATTTGGTAGCCACCACAACATTTATCTTTTTTTAAGAACTTGATATGCGTTTTAATTAAAATGCGCAAATTTTGCTATTGATAAAGAGAATATTTCATTTGTGTAATATATGTAATTATTACTCTTTTGGGAGTAAAAAAGGCTGTTTAAAAATGCATTTTGCATATGAAATATGGAACTATTACACCAAAAACAATTTTTGGTAATTATATTCGTATTCTAAATGGAATTCTATAATATTTGTTATGGACAAGAAGTGTATTTCTCTAAAATGTTAAAATGTGTTATGTTTAAACATTTTTTTTTTGTTTCTTTTTTAACATTTGTTAATTGTCCAATATTTTAGAAGAGGGCGAAAACAAAAAATAAAATTTACAATATCTGCTCTAAATTATTGGATGTCAAAGTGTTGTCTTTTATTATCAATTTAATATATAGTTTTCTTTTACACAATTTAACATAGAAAAGTTGTAGAAATACTCATGCAATCAGGACATATAAATAGTTTTAGAACATTTCTTTTCTAAATACATTTGTACAAACTTACCATGAGCGTGAAACTTTCTCAGGGGATCCACGATGGCAAAGTACCGATCACCTGATAGGGCAGTCAGCGTGAAGACCGATACCCCAATGGAGACATCCTTCATGAACTCCGAGAGGCTGCAGAGGAAGCTGCCATATGGCCAATACTCCACGGTGTAAACGGTGGATGCCAATGGCACTGTGGTCACAATAACCAGAAGATCCGCCAGGGCTAGTGATAAAATATACCTAAAACAAGAAATGTTTATTAAAGAAATAAAACTGCAACTTAAACACTTGAAGGAAAATAAAGAAAAGGAAAACCCATGGATTTATGTTCCATTTTCTTAGATAAGAGGGATGACTTTGCAGGCGGGGTTAACTCATCTTTTTGGCCAGCACGTGTCCTTGAAGTGTGATAAAAATGTGGCACCGCGTTGATTTATGTTTGCCAAACTTTTTAGGGAATTGTATATATATCTGATATAAACAAGCTGACTTAGGGGTAATGCAATGAACATTAAAATTGATTTATCTAGCAAAAGCCTTATTAAGTGGAATGTAAATTTTGCGCAGCCGGAAAAGTGAAACAAAGGCGAATTTCACTATTTCTTTGTTTTAGGGGCTCATCTTTTTACCATCGCCCAGGACACACTTGAGACCACAGTGGCTGCGAATAAATGGTTCTCTTGCAGTAATTCCGACTTTATCCAACCTCTTGGCTTTCCATAAATAAGCTGCATGTGGCACTTTGTTTGCCACGTTCTGGAAATGGAAATGCAACACCAAATTACGTTTTTGTGGCCCCCGGCAAAGTCGATAAGGGTCTTTCTGTCTCCTGGCCAGGCACTTGGCTTTTAAAGCACCCATTTTGGCTTTTACCCGGGCTACGAAATGCAATTTCAGCGTAATTTGATCAGTTGACATTTCCTTTCGTCTGCGAGTTTTATGTGAATTAAGCTTGATGCAAAATCGTGTTGGAAAATCATAGTTTATGCCTTGCCATTCGTGACGCGATTAAAGTGCTCGTATGGCCATATATATGTGGTACAACAATCCGGCTTTAAGTGACGCTGCTCTTTAGGCCGCATTGACCTCTTCCGACCAACAAAGTGGAATGTTTTAATTGGCCACAAGCCGCAAGGGCCTGCTTTTTCACCCCCAACCCCCCGAACAAAGGTCATCCGCTTAATGATAAACTCGTGTCGCTAATAAACTTCTTCACTGAGCCAAGATGTTGCCACTAGAAACCGTGCTGTTTAAGTTATTTATTTTACGAGCGGGGCAAAATTATCAAGAAAATTGTCAGCCACAGGAATTCTAGAGTCCTTAAAATGGCCAATCGAAGAACCTAATTGTAAAAGTTCAGTAGAGCAAAAAATACTTTAAGAGAGAAAAAGTAGATTAGGTTTCTAAGAGCTTGCGGATTAGCTTAGAGTTGTCTTATTATCAAAGTCAACAGTACGTATGAGTAACGCTTATTCTATTTAATTACTTATTTTTACTTATTATACTTGTTTTTAATCTTATTTGAGATGGAAAAGCTGTCAATATAAGGAAATGGTGAATTTGTAGAAAGTACTAATTGGCTTCTTAGCAATTTATGAATCTTTAAGAACATTGCGCTAGTTTATCGAACAGTAACATCCGCAGAATTAAGGGAGATAATAAGATAATGTTTTTTTGGACTACTCTAGTTTAGAAATAACCTTTTATTAACAAATTATTTGAATTTCTTCGAATAGGTAAAAGCGATTTAAGTTTATTGGGTTATCTCAATGTTCTAGGTGAACCTTCGCTATAAGTTTAAGAAATTTGATTGAAGGATAGAATTAAATCATTTTTAAAGTAAATAACTAACTAACTAATCCCAAAGCGAATACTTTTTAATAATTCACAATGAAGTCCAAAAACTGAGTTAAGTGAGAAAACACAAAACTCAGTTCTTAAATTTCAAGAAAAGTATCAAAAGTATAACCAAAAGTTCTTTAAATTGACATTCCCTTAAACAGTTATTGTCACTTTAAATGCCTCAATTTGCCGAATGGCTTCCCTTGGCCCCAGAATGCTCCTGCAATTCAAATTCAGTCGCCTTTAACGAATTACTCTGGCTTCCCAGAATGTCTACAACGGAGATGTTCGCTCGTGTATGTCACATAAGGTTATTGTCTGCCCGAAAATCATATTTATCTCGTTCGTAAGCCTGGTAGAATAACTTGATTTATGGCGCACACTGTATGTACGTACGTACTTGCGTAGTGTGTACAAAAATCAACCCCGACATGACTAATTAGTTATGCCATTTTGCTGCTCCACTGCTAAAACATCCATACACCCAAACATCCTGTCATCCTAACATCCAAACATCAACAGCTGCCAATCGATCGGCAGAATGTGTGTTTGGTGGGCACATGTTTTCCCTCCATGTGAAAGGGAAATTTTGAGCAATTTCCAAGTGGAGGCGGCAACAGCATTACCATTATCATCGCCACCCGACTGACTTTTCCTGCCTGGCATACCACTTAATTAACCGAAGGTGGGAAGGAAGGGTTCGGGTTAAAGGGGACTCATTTCAGGCATTGCTCTTGGCCAACTCGTGACATTTGCCTTTTGCATGCATAATTTGGCGCAGACTCTTCGTTGCCAGGCGTGCGGCATATAATTAAATTCAATTTAAGTTCCCCGTAAATCAAAGAGGCATTTGCCAAGTAGGTGGGCGTGCAGGTGTTACGACTAGGTGATTGCCTACAGGTAGCCTTTGGTTTGTAACACAGATTTTAGTCACTGAATAAAGGTTTTGGATGCAAATATAAAAGGTCAACAAGACTTGAAGCAATTTGTTAAATATCCTAGCAAGAACTATAAATAAGAGGAATTTTTAGCAAATTTATAAGCTAGAGTTCTTTCAAAAATATGATGAATAAATACATGGAAGGTAAAAGTAATTCAAACTTTACCTAATATTTTAAATTTCCTAACAAAGTATTATAAATACCCCTTCTTAAAGCTTAATCTCTTTTTCAATGGGTATGTCTCACATAAATATTTGATTCAATTGATAGATATTTTAAATTCCACAATAAATGATAATAAATACATCTTCTTGAAAATAAATCAGTTTTGAAATAAGAATTTTTGAAATGAACAAACTTGTTAAACTTATGGTTATATTATTTCACAAATACCTACGATCACTTATAACGATGCAATGTACCTAAAGGTTAAACTACTTAAACTATCATCAATCTTTTTTACAAAGGATTATAAATGTCTTGCTAAGCCTTAATTATTTTTGGAATAAGTTTTTGAAATGAAGATTTAGTCAAGTCTTCAAAAACTAGAGATAGTTAATACTCATAAGTTTAATTAAGTTTATCCAATATTATTTGAAAATATCCCTATTAACTTGTATATAGAACTAAAATAAACCTTTATTTAATGAATAGTGTATATTTAATATAGAAATTATTCCAGCATGAACAAAGAGGTCAAGCATAGGCAATGACCCATCATTACCATAAGCTATCCCTAGAGAACCCATCTTTCCGAAAGTTACGCAAACTTTTGCCGGGACACTCACGTGTTGGGAACATTCCGCATCTGGCGCACGCTGAGGAAGACGACAATCAGGGTGCCATTGCCCAGGACGCCGACCACGAAGATCAGGGCGAACAGGATGGGCACGATGTAGGTTTCCGGTCGCCGGCCGTAGGGCACGTAGGGTGTCTCGGTGACGGCCAGTTCGCTGAAGTTCTCCGCCGAGAAGGAGGAGGAGAAGGAGGAGGGGGTTCCGGATCCGGTGTCCTGGAGGAGGGGCCACTGGGTGGTGGACGTGGCCAGCATGGCCAGATCCCAGAGAGCCTGCGTTACGTTCAGCGGCGTGGGCAGTGGCGGGGAATCCCCGGAAAATTCCACATCCAAGTCCATTTCCATGCTCACCAAGTTGGCTATCATCAGGGGAAAAATCAACTGACTCCGCTCGATTTTCCTTCGCTCAATGCCAAAGTATTTCTTGCCCACCAAACAGGCAAATTGTTTAAGCCAACATGATTAATTTGATTCCTTCACGGCTCGTTGCCTTCTGCATTTTTGCATTCAATTTTAGCCAACTGCAAAATAGGGGAAAAACAATACAATTTGTAACATGAAATTGATTCAATTTGCTTTCGGTTTTGCTTTAATGGATCTGTAGGAAATTCAATTATTCAGTACTAAATTCTAGCCGCCCAATAGCCCCAAAAATATTTTGTGCCATTAAATGGTCGATTCAACTCGTATTTGTTTACTTTTCCGGGTGGGAAATTGCACATATAAATTTACTGTGTGATCAAATTGTTGGTTTTTGGTTTTTGGGGCGAATAAGTTTCTATTGTTCTAAGGCAGACTTGAATGTTGAATGCGTAGAATTGAAAGGGGTAAATTAAACTTTAATTGAAGTAGGTTTTGGCTGCTAATTGTTGAATTCTGGAGTGGAAAATTGGGAAAATAAAAGGAAAGTTTTTGATGTTTTGGGAGGTATTATTTTGTTATATTTAAAGGATCTCAAACAATATTAAATAGGTGATATAAAAGGGTCTTTGTGTATTTTTAAGAACAATTTTGAAAGATATAATAAGGTCAGATACATTTATGAGATACATTTTTGGATGTATTTGTAAGAGGTCTAGTAATTAATTATAATTATTTGTACAATCTTGTACACAACTTAACTACACAAACACCCAAATAACAAGAACTTTCTTGTTACGAAAATTACAGAAACACATCTAGTCGGACATAAAATTTAATCCTCTCTAACTAAGTTTGATTTATTCCCTTTTGAAATTGAATTGCATTTGTTCTCTTAACTGGATAATTGCATCACAGATGCACATTTGCTTTTCCAGCAGAATACATTTCAACGAATCCCTGTGAACATTATCCTTAAATCGAGTTTAGCCTTCAGCTGGCTAATTTGGTATTCCGTTTTTCAAAGTTTCTCAAAACACGTGCTAACTTTGCATTAAAGCCGGGTTGGGATGTTACCGGGAAAATCAGGCCATGAGTAGGGGGCTTTATGTTACAGATTTATGGCATTAGCGTGGAATTTCTTATCAACTTGATGGTGTGGCACCCCGACTCCTTTTCCCTCCCCCTTTCGACACTTCAAGGAATGCATATCCTGTCATTACATTCCCAGCCATTAAGCGCACATACATACACCATCATCTCACATCTCCTTACAGTGACTCATAAAATGTAACCGACGCCCAAGGAAACTTCAATGACTTGGATGGCCAGCAGGAAAAGCTGGAAAGACAACAACAACACCATCAGGATTTTCTTGAGAGAAGGAAAACTCTGCGTAATTGAAATCTGTGCGTTCGGCTTTTCCTCTTTCGCCGCCGCTGTCATTCCTTTGTAATAAAAATATGAATGGTCTGCCATCCAAGACTCAAGATCCAGCGGCGTTTCCTCGCCAGGTGAATGTAAACATCCGGCCAAATCCCTAAACCCCCCGGCTATTCACCACTTTCCTATCCCAACAACAACTTATCCGGATGCCATCGAAAATGTGATGGAGGAACTGTAAAAACAGATGCCTTAAAATCAAATCCGTATGAATGCATAAATACAATTTGCATAAACCCGAAGAGGCGTTATTCCGATGCCACAAAGTTGCTTAAGTGTAAATGTGCATGAAAGTTTTCACAGAAATTCATTTTGTTGTTGCTTAGTTGCATAGTTGTAATTTTACTAGTTAAACTTGCTTTTGTACAATTTAATGGCGCTACCATTAAGTAACTCAATCTTAAAGATAGACTAATTAAGCAAACTTGAGATGCCATCAATTGAAAAAACTTTCCCTTCATAGCTAAACATTGTCTTGGCCAACTCAGGTAAACAAGAAGACCAAGTTTTCGATTTTGCAGCAAATAGTTCAAGTATTACATTTTTTTTTGAACTTTGTGGAAGTTATTATCCCATCTCCTGCAGTTTTTGCTGCTGGTAAATAAAAATAATTGATTTTTAATGATTTTATGAGCGTAATCCACTGCTGTTTAATTGCCCAGAACATAAAAAACATATTAGTTCGAAGGCAAATTTAAAAAAGCAAAACAAACAAACATTGAAATGCGGGTACTGGTGGCGTATGAGTAATATTAAGTATTTAGTAAAATGATATTATTAAAAGCCTTTTTGATAAGCTTCATATTATTGATGTTAAGAGCATAATTAACAAAGTATTATGCAGTTAACTACATCTGATTTAATGTAATATATAATTTATCAAATAGATTATTTTAATGAATATCTTTTTCATGTTCCTGTGGCGTATGCGTAATATTAGATGCTGTGTAAATAAATACCATTTAATGCCTTTTTTAAATTTTCAATAATTTTATACTGTTTTAAGGCATTACTTTAATAAAGTTTAAAGGTAATTACTTTCTGTCTGATGTATAATTTATTAATTTGCCTTTCTAATGAATACCCCTTCTTGCTTCTTTGGTATTCAAGAACTTTTCCCTCTTCCTATTCAATGTCTACTTTACATTTTCCAATTCGGTACTTTATAAGACTTCATAGAAGTTCTTGCACTTCGAGTAACTCGAATTGAATAAATTTTCCCATTGTTGACCTTCTTGAAAGGCTTCCCGTGGCTGGTCAAAAAATAAGCTAGCGAATCTGGCAAATGCCCGAAAATGCAAATTAAGTTTTGAGAACAAAGGCACATTAATTAAGTAATTCTGGGCAAAAGCTGAAAATCGTTGAAATATTTTTGCAACTGAAAATGGCTGGCTGATGAGCCCGTTTGAATTGTCAACAAGGTCCTGGTCCGCTTTGTTTGCCGCCCAGCGTAATTAATTTGTTAACTGAATGTTAACACAAGTGGGTGGAAAAGTTGTGGGTTGAGGTCAGGTTTATTTGCACAACACTTAGCTAATTGAATTTTGACACTGACTAGGCCAAGTGATAAATTATTCTCTTTAAAGTAGTTACAACGCACAACATCTAATTCGGCGGCATAATAAATTCATGGCCCCAGGGAAAATTGATATATTTTGGTATAGCTGCCATTAGGCCGACAAATAAACCTGTTAGCCTATATCAATAACTGGCTTACATCGCTCTCCACCCGCACAAAAAACAACTTCACAGCGGAGTGCCGTGATTTATGACAGCCAATGGCCGGCAGAGGTCCGCTTATCTGGTGACCATCTGGATGTCAAATGTCTGTGTACTACCAACAAGAGTGGGTCACCCCCTGATTTTTACCCTGTAAATATGGTGTGATAACAGAGAGGCGCCTAACTTTAAAGGCATTACGACGGGGAAAAAACATGCCAATGATTAATGAGTAGGTCAAGAAAAAGGAAAACTAAATTGATATACAAGTATTTATAAAAACATACGTAACCATATCTATAAACATAAATATTCTGATCAATTTTTTGAAATATCTATATCAATTCTTCAAGTTTTTTTCGCATGAACAGAAACAGCTAACATATTGATGTGTTTCTTTTTCAAACATTAAAATGAAATAAGGCTTTTTCTTTCCTTGATTTATATATTTTTTGAACAAGTGTAAAAATAGTGCTATTTTTGACGTTTTAAAATAAAAAAGCAGTGTAGTCTCTTTAAAATGAAACTGATAAATGGATGTTATTATCGGTCTCTTGTTCCTTGCTCAATATTTTTTTAAGATCTTAGTTATGAATATTTCCCTCTCAATATTTTATTAAATACCTCAGTTTTTAAGTATAAAGGAATGACACAAAAGCCTACAACAATTTATATTGAAGTAACCTATGAAGGTGTTTAAAAGTATGCAACAATATATTTTAAACACCAAAGTTCGGTGAATGAGCCCCGAAAGAGAGGTTTTCTTTTTCTTAGGGCTTACATTTAGACAAATTTATATTCGATTTCAAAAGGAGTATCGTTTTTTTTTTCGAAACAATTTACCTGGACATTTCAGAAAACAGTAGATATTTTTCTCGTATGATAATATCTAAAATTCATAGATTATTTGATATACGTTTATGCAGCATTTCCAGGAAAACCATAAGTCGCCATAAAACCTATCCTTCAATACTTAGTTGTTATTTTTTTTTTTACATGCTCATGAGTGCCTTTGATAAATCAATGCAATTTATCAGTAGTTCAGCTGCGGCCACACGCCACTTAAAATGCGTCGCACTCCGTTCCCGAAAACCCAGGGGATAGTGGGGTGTTATATATCCTCCCATACCATCCCATAACTATCCTAACCCAGTGGCGAAACTTTATTATCGCTGCGAAAACACTCGGTTCACGTTGCCAACCGAGTGGGAATCGAAAACCGGAGGAATCTTATCTACCAGTCGGTCGGGACTTAGTGCGTCTCATAATAAATGCACTTAAGTCTGTTTTGTTTTTGGGGACAAAGGGCACACGATGGAATTCACAGCCACACACGAATGTTTTGCATAAATAACGCGGGCGTTTTGGACACTCTTACTCCCGAAAAAATAAAAAAGAACACCCCTCCCTATTACATTTTTCATGAAATATGCGTTAAAAAAAAGGAGACTGGCTTTACCAAAAGATTTGCGATTGGCCATTTGTTTTGCCGCATGTAATGGAATACCTTGCTGGCCGTATTTTATTTTTGTATGCAAATATAATGAAAGAAAAATAAAATGTTCAATCATTGATTCCAGGAAAAAAACGCTTATGAATGGCACAGTAATTTTTTGAATCTTGATATCCACTCTATTATTGTTTCATTTAAATTGTTGGCGAATTTGTTGTATCAACTGGTGTATTAAAGTGTTTAAATTTAAAGCTGGGTTTAATGGCCAACGGACTCCTTAAAATGCCAGACGTGGGATTGTGGATATAAAAGTGTCCCCGAATACCGGCATGTTGGAACATAAAGCAACCACTAAAGAGCTGCGATAAAAAATCAAATTTAAGCAACCCATAAGCCATTCGGAATACATTGTCATAGTTGTATTTAATTTTTTCCCCTCGTTTATCGCAGCATTTCTCCTCATTCAGTTATTTCAATATATTATTTTTCTCATTTTCATAAAAATGGTTTTACCAATTCACACTTAATGGCTTCGTTTGGTTGGGT